ATTTCCCCTTGAGATGAATCATCTCTTTTTCGAAGGGGTCCTTTTACTGGGAGTGACATGTGAATTAAGAGTTGTGCCTTTCGACTCTGCTCCCTCTTCAAAGTCAAATACAGAAACTAGCATTGCAGATACTGCACTGATATATTTATGATTCTTACGGATCCCTGCTGCTCATCATTTCATTGCCGCCTTCCCTCACATGGCTACAACACATCATCCTCAAGCAGCAGAGATTAAATCATGAGACCACCAGACCCTTTCAGGGCCCTCACGTCCATCAAGATCTGACTTCCATTTTGTCATTCGTCATCTCTCTGCTGTGATGATCCCTGTCACTTGCATCCTTCATTTACCTACTAAAACTTTAATCCTAATGAAACAAATTCTGGTTTCCACGATGGTTTACTTTTAAACCATCTATCCTTATGATTATTATTAGTAGATCTCGGACACATTCCTGAAAAGCACTATCAAAAGAGTTGTTGAAAACAGGAAAAATGATGGTGAATTTAAAACAGGGATGTCACAGAGGAACATGCGTGTCCTGCATGACAGACGTCCTACATAAATTATGAGTACTTAATATAAAACAAATTTCACTTTTTATGTTTGCACTGTTTTTAACAGAACTAAAGCACAAACTGGCAAATTTAGTGGAAGTTCTTTATACACGCTCCGTTCTCAAATAGACATAAATCTCAGCTCCGCTTGAGGATGTCAGACCTGTTGTTAGCATGTTAACCTCCGCCTGGTGTACTGTAATCCACGGATTAGGACGTTTGCACCTGTGATTTTTATGTCAGCACTGTAATGTTTGTTTTTCCCTGTACTTTTATTTTATTATCTTCATCAAATCAATATTTTTGCATTCCCACTGTTACAACCCGGTTCAGCTTAGGTGTAAGGAAGTAACAAAATAACCAAGATGTTAGAATGGTTACTAAAATCATAATTTATTACAATGACAAAATTTGGTAAAACTGGTGACAAAATATAATTAAACATGTACAAAACACACAGTGTAAATAAAAAACCTATTGAACAAGTAAGCAATGACAAAACCAAAAGTGTAACCTAAACTAAAGGGTCTTAACATAAACTACACAAGTCACTGAACTAAAGTACCGGCACAAGTGACAGGACAAAGACAAAACTAAATGGCGAACTAGAGTCCACTGACTCCAGCTGCCCCGAACCGTGAATGATTGGCAGCTTATAAGGGCGGGTCCTCCAGGTGAGCGCGCGCTGATTGGAAGACTGTCTCAGCTGCTGCCCAATCAGCTGCAGGTGGGGAGGAACGACTGGTCAATTAGTAGTGATGGCAATATGAAGCCCCATGAAGCCTTGAGGGATCGCAGCCTATTACTCGGCCCATGAGTCGAAGGCTCGAGGTAAATCATGCTCCACTACGCCATCATGTGGACAAAAAAAATACATAACACTCTTAAGTGCTTACAATGAATGGTGAGATCTAATGTTAAAATGTATATTTACAATCTATGGTCTAACGTGTTGTGTTTGAAATAATGCTTCATGAACTATGAACTATTTGAGTCTTTCAGTCAATTGTGTTGATACAACAAACACATCCAAAGTAATACAGTTCTACAGAAAGTGATTAATGGAGGAAAAACTACCAAGAGGTGGATTAATTAAACACAACAAACCATTTATTCCCAATAAATAAATACATTTACTTTGCAACACAAAATGTATTATGGGTAGACCAGGATTCGAACGCTATATCTTCTGCTTCGGAGTCCGTCATATACCAACTGCGCCACACAGCTGTTGTGAAATGTTTATCCAGCCTATTATTACTAATAACTTGAAGCCTTGATATATGAGGTTTTACTAAAGTGAAACGTTTTTAATTGTATTTCATATGAAGTAGTTTCTCTATACTTAGTACAGGACTGCTCCACATCACGCACACACACGTACGCACACACACACACGTACGCACACAGAGGCAGACGAGGACAGCCAATACAGTCTATGGTACAGCCGCGGATCACAAAGCACCTGTCAAAGCAATGCACTCTCCGAACTATATGAAGCACTATATGAACCGTCACGTGGTGCGGCCGCTACACGAGGCTTCGAACGTCACCACATACGTCACCAACACACGCCTCGAACCACGCTTCAAAAAATACGCCCCTTTTTTACTCGGTACACGCTTCGAAGACCCGGTGTTCTGCCGAGTTGTGCCGCTCTGCCGAAAAGTGACGCTTATGTAATGCTCAGCTGTTAATGATGTAATGCAAACCTGCGCGCATGCGCGTCTCGCGGCAGCCGAAACAAACCAAGATGGCGGACAGAAAGTCCGAGAATTGCTTTAAAAGTTATAATACGAACGAAATAAGACACGAATGTCACTTTTAATGCAATTTGAGGCAAGATGTTGATGGTTCCGTGTAGCAACTCTACAGCTTTGTTTTCTCTTCACCGAAGCTGAAAACTCACGTGAGTATGGCTCTCCGTTACAAAGGGCATATATTTGTATTAGTATAACGTATTATAAAGTTTGCAACCGAGCGCGTTGACTTCACTGACCTCACTGACTCTACCAAATCCTATACAGAATATTATATTACTTTTTCAACTTTGTACCATACTCCTGGGTTCGAAATTACATTATGGGGATACATTTTACGTACACGCGTAACGTATGAATGAATACGCGGTCATAATCCCTCCCGAAATGTATTGATTTTCTAATATTTGCTCGTGGAGAGAGGGTAACATTATGTACTCGTGAAGAAGATGATAAAGTCTGGGATCGCGTCTTTCATTCAGACAGAAGACATGCTTTATTGTCGATGGTAGAGACAGCAGAAATAGTCAAAACAAGTAGTGGAAAAGTACAGGCTTCTGCACATTGATAGAATGATGAGTTTAACTTTAACAAAAGTTACTTAAAAGTGTTATAAATCTCACACTAGTAAAAAAGATAAATTACGTTTCATTTATGTGTGTTGTTTCTCATGGATGTAGCCTCATCACTAATCCTCTTCCATAGTATCTTATCTCTTGATATCTAATGGTGAAAGGAAGTCAATATTAATACAAAGTCAGAGATTTCCATCTTTTTTAAATTAGATATTTTTGTGTGGATGTTTGATCGGCTTTTAATTATTATTTGGTGGTCATTTAACAACATCTTCTCTTTTTCTCCCCAGAGCCATCCTTGATCCTCTTTCTTGCCCTCCCACCTTTGTCCACTTCCCCGTTTTCACATCTGCTTTTGATTGATACTGTTTTTTCACTCCTGCATTTCCACCTGACCACAATCTCTGTCTCCTCCCCTCTGATTTTTATGCCACACTGATTGATACACCGTTTTTTGACCCTTGCCTGTCCACCTGACCAAGATTTTGTCTTTCATAATCATAATGGAGGATAAATGGGATGAAATGTTTCTTCTCCTCACAGAGAAGATTTATCCTGAGGGAATGAATACATTTCAGACAGACAGAACTTGAGGAAGTACTCCCATAAATTTACTGCAAAGGGTAATAATGCATTTGCTATTATGGTTATACATGTCTTATTGTTCTTCTGTTGTTTTATTATAATTCAGTTGTTATAGATGGTGAGCTGTTCCATGACAAAAGAAGAGCCATTAAAACAAGACACGAGGCACAGAAACTATTTAAAAGAGTTTCATGCTACACCCACGGGAGGCCACACTGGCGTGAACAAAACCTGCCATTTGTTCCAGGTTTTACTGGCGTGGCAGGACTGATGATTGACAATATGGTATGTTTTTTCCTTTTATTTGTCTGTACAATTCCCTTCCCTGTCTGTTCTTTTTAAGATTTATGAGTGTGACCAATGTCAACGTGAGGGAAAGTCTCTGGGTTCAGTTGCACCACTCCAAACAATAAAAGTAATTGTATTTATTGTTCCTATCCAACCAGCAGTGTACATTAATGCGTTCAAATCCTGTTGGCTTGTTGGGTGTCTGCTGTTTGGGAGCTGTTGGGGCCCTTCCCCAAAACTACTGATGGCTATCAGTACATATTTACAGCCACGGATTATTTTTCAAAGTAGGTAGAGGCTTTCCCATTTAAAAACTAAGACGGCTGTGGAGGTTGGGTAAAGACTTTGCTTTATAATATACAGGGGTGCCCAAAATGTATCCTGTCTGATCAAGGGCGGGAATTTGTAAATGAAGTAAATATTGTTTGTGTACTTCTTGTTCATACTTTCTTATTCATTTTATTTTCATTGTTTCAGCTCAATGTTACTCTGTGTTCTCTGCTGGGCATTGAGAGAAGCGTCACTGCTGCGTACCACCCACAGACTGATGGATTGGACAAAAAGACCAACCACAACATAAAGAGGCAAGAAAGTGTCCAACAAGGCTCAGTGATTCAGTTCGCTCCTTCACCACAAAACAAGGCCAGTAGAAAGACACAAACATATTATCATTTAAAAAGTTTTAAATTGTCAGATGTTCATGTCTTTACTAAATCTTAACACTCAGTTCCCATAAATGTTTTTCTGCATAAAACAGTTTGTTAAAATAATCATCCTCCAGCAGTCACATGACGCATGTGTAAAAAAAGCCAGCATTGAGGAGCAAGGTTGTAATTGTACAAAGTTCTGACCTGATGGGTATTATTATGTTTTTCTCTAATGCAGGTCATTGATTCCGATCTACGTGTGCTGGTGAACAAAGTAGAGGTGACATGTGTCCTTTACATTGGCTTGTTTCAGCAGAAACCTGTTCCCCAGCTCTCTGCTGTTGTGGGCACAAGCCTCTGTGCGTGGACAAATGAAACCACTTACAAAGGAAGTTCCCATTTCCATGGGCCAAATATTCCTTGCATACCCATATGGTTACAAAGACAATAACACTTTTTGGTTCCACTTTTTTATAGATGAAATTTCCAGAAGAGGCTCACTGGATCTGCCCCATAAAGACTGGAGGCCACTGGGTGTTAGTGGTCGTCCTCATGGAGGATAAATCAGTATTGCTCATTGACCCCATGGGAAACGAGGCCCTTTACAAAACAAACATCCTCAAAAACTGGAGGTTTGTCCTATCTGAAAAGTTATCATGAGACTTGTTTTGTAACTGTTCATCTCACTTTAGGAAGTTTCTGAGGCAGGCGAATAGAGGCAGTGGTCAATGGACTGGGAGTGTGCTCAAGCACCAGCTACAAATTGACACCTCTAGTTGTGGCATTTTTATTTTAAAGGTGATTCTGTAATTATTTATTCTTCTTTGAAGGCATAGTGACATGTCCTATTAGCTGTATATATAGTTTGCCGAGGCATGGTTCCTCCAGGGCCATTTGGATGCTGTGTGCACAAACTACAAATGTATTGCTGCAGCGTGTCTGGAAGTGGCATGTACGCTGCTTCAGCGAGGAGGTTATTATCGTCCTTACTTTTGAAATGTTATACCTGGGTTAATCAACAAAACTGAGACTGAAACATTGTGTTTATTTGTAGGTGAAGATGACTACTGTGGTGTGTGTTGTTTCCACTTAAGTGGAGATGAAAAGGTATTTTCCTCTTATAACCCTACAGCATGTGTTTCTGGAATGACTAAAGTTTACTTATTTTGGATAGGTGCAGTGTTGTATGTGCGGCGACTTCACACATTTTGATTGCACCAACAAAAAAGCGCCTTTGGTAGCATGTAATAAATGTAATCAATAGAAAAAAGTGTTGGCCACACATGTCAGAGTAATTGTATTTTTATAAAATGTACCATGTTGCAACAGTGGTTTCTGGTCTTTGTTTTACCTTGTGCTTTTCAGAATCATAATTTTTGTTTTTGCTCTACATCTGAGGCTATGGTGCAAAGTCCCTGGTTATCTATGCATTTATTTTTAATTACTATTCAAACAAGGGTTCTAAAATCAAAATATTGGAAAGTCAGAGGTAACAACATTTCAGAACACAACAGTGTGACAGCAAGATATACCTCTATCAATCTTGTGACATGTGGTTGTATACTACACAAATTATTGGGATTAGTAGTGTTGGAAATATGTATTTATATGTATGTATTTATAATTAAACTGTCCTCTGTTCATATGTAATGTGATGGTGTTTCTGTAGCTACATAAAACATATACAACTAGAAACTTGCAATGGCTGAAGCCATTGCGATTGACTGCGGAACAGATCTAATGTGGAAATCTGCTAAAAAAAATCCTTGAAATCCTTTAAAAAGCCTTGAAACTGTTAAAATACTTGATAGATATTTGAAACTCCTGAAGTCCTTGAAATTGTTGAAACCTTTAAACTCCTGAAATCCTTGAAACTGTTGAAACATTGAAACTCCTGAAATCCTTGAAACTTTTTTAAACCTGGAAACTGTTGAAAGTGTGGAAACTCCTGAAATCCTTGAACCTCCTGATATCCTTGAAACTGGTTAAATTCTTAAACAGCTGAAATCCTTGAAACTACTGAATGTATTGAAAGTGTCCTTGAAACTGAAAAATCCCCTCACCGCTGAAACAATTTGGTTCCTGTAACTAAGGAAACCTGGTCTGTGGTCATTATCTGGTGGTGGTCTGAGTCTTCGTTTGGGTCTTGGTCTGGTGGTATAATGCAACCTATTAGGTTGCATTATACATGAAAAAACCCTATTAAGTTGCATTATACTGGTTTACATGAAAAAAACCCTATTAAGTTGCATTATACTGGTTTACATGGAAAAATCCCTATTAAGTTGCATAATACTGGTTTACATGGAAAAATCTCCATTAAGTTGCATTATACTGGTTTACATGAAAAAAACCCTATTAAGTTGCATTATACTGGTTTACATGGAAAAATCCCTATTAAGTTGCATTGTACTGGTTTACATGGAAAAATCCCTATTAAGTTGCATTATACTGGTTTACATGAAAAAAACCCTATTAAGTTGCATTATACTGGTTTACATGTAAAAACCCCTATTAAGTTGCATTATACTGGTTTACATGGAAAAATCCCTATTAAGTTGCATTATACTGGTTTACATGGAAAAATCCCTATTAAGTTGCATTATACTGGTTTACATGGAAAAATCCCTATTAAGTTGCATTATACTGGTTTACATGGAAAAATCCCTATTAAGTTGCATTATACTGGTTTACATGGAAAAATCCCTATTAAGTTGCATTATACTGGTTTACATGGAAAAATCCCTATTAGGTTGCATTATACTGGTTTACATGTACAAATCCCTATTAAGTTGCTTTATACTGGTTTACATGTAAAAACCCCTATTAGGTTACATTATAGTGGTTTACATGTAAAAATCCTTATTAAGTTGCATTATACTGGTTTACATGTAAAAACCCCTATTAAGTTCCATTATACTGGTTTACATGTAAAAACCCCTATTAAGTTCCATTATACTGGTTTACATGTAAAAACCCTATTAAGTTGCATTATACTGGTTTACATGAAAAAAACCCTATTAAGTTGCATTATACTGGTTTACATGGAAAAATCCCTATTAAGTTGCATAATACTGGTTTACATGGAAAAATCCCCATTAAGTTGCATTATACTGGTTTACATGGAAAAATCCCTATTAAGTTGCATTATACTGGTTTACATGGAAAAATCCCTATTAAGTTGCATAATACTGGTTTACATGGAAAAATCCCCATTAAGTTGCATTATACTGGTTTACATGGAAAAATCCCCATTAAGTTGCATTATACTGGTTTACATGGAAAAATCCCTATTAAGTTGCATTGTACTGGTTTACATGGAAAAAACCCTATTAAGTTGCATTATACTGGTTTACATGGAAAAAACCCTATTAAGTTGCATTATACTGGTTTACATGTAAAAACCCCTATTAAGTTGCATTATACTGGTTTACATGGAAAAATCCCCATTAAGTTGCATTATACTGGTTTACATGAAAAAAAACCCTATTAAGTTGCATTATACTGGTTTACATGAAAAAACCCTATTAAGTTGCATTATACTGGTTTACATGAAAAAACCCTATTAAGTTGCATTATACTGGTTTACATGGAAAAATCTCCATTAAGTTGCATTATACTGGTTTACATGGAAAAATCCCTATTAAGTTGCATTATACTGGTTTACATGGAAAAATCCCTATTAGGTTGCATGATTACACTGAAGTCCTTGAAACTGCTGAAGTCCTTGAAACTGCTGAAGTCCTTGAAACTGCTGAAGTCCTTGAAACTGTTGAAGTCCTTGAAACTCTTGAAATCTTGAAACTGCTGAAATCCTTGAAACTGTTGAATCCTTGAAACTGTTGAATCATTGAAACTGTAGAAATGTCTGAAAGAGCTGAAGTCCTATTAAAATGCATGGGCCTATTAAAATGCATTGCAGAATTCTCAATGCAGATTTTTGTCCGATTGCGGAAAAACCGGAAATCGCTGAAGTCCCAAAAGTAATAGCAATAATCTCCCAAACATGTGGAACGTTTTGATGTATAACTTGTGGAAATTGTTGAAAATGTGAAAGCTGTGAAACGTGTCAAAAAAAATGACGGAATAAAGAAATACAAAACCAATGGTTGACTGCGGAAGGTTCCGCAGTCAATCAATTAATCGAATGTAACATGTGTAATCTTGTTATTCGGTATGGATACATTACAATACAATCGTTAATAATCCCATATCAACATAGTAAACTGTAGAGTTGCCACAGGACGCGTCATCAGCCTGCGTCCGCAGCCGAGGACTGCTATCATAACATTAGCTTTGTGGTTTCACAGGCAGAGTTGACTGCTTAAACTAAACTTTACACGAAACTTTGACTCTTAAAACCCACATGGGACAACACGGAACCATCAACATCTCGCCTCAAATTGCATTAAAAGTGACATTCGTGTCTTATTTCGTTCGTATTATAACTTTTAAAGCAATTCTCGGACTTTCCGTCCGCCATCTTGGTTTGTTTCGGCTGCCGTGAGACGCGCATGCGCGCAGGTTTGCATTACATCATTAACAGCTGAGCATTACATAAGCGTCACTTTTCGGCAGAGCGGCACAACTCGGCAGAACACTGGTACGCTCAGCACATCACTATCAATTAGAGCCCAGGACTCACGAGCGTGGTCTTCTGTGAAGGGAGGAAAACACACGGAGCCACCACGGGAGAAAACAAAGTGATTCCCAAAATAGCAAATTACGGGCCGTGGGCCATAACACCACATTTTTGGGTCCTCATTCACTTCACCTCATCACAGTGGTCTTCCTAATTTTTTTTATTTTATACATAGTTTATTTCTGTGTCATTATTTTAAGAAATAATCTTTTATCATTTTAACTCCAGGAGCATTGCAACACAAGGTTTACTTGCAGAAGTTAGCAATTATATTTTTACAGAACTGAATTTGCTGTATTTCAGGTTATATTAAAGCTGCACTAACTGACTTTATTTTTGTATTCATTACGAAAAAGCTATCCATGTCCATGCAGTGCATTGGGATATTCGTCCTTTTGAAGAAAAAGTAGCGCAGATTTGGGCTGGCGTGACATTATATTTTAGATCGAGTTTTGATGAAACAAAGAAGAGAATGTGTTTCGGGTCGCAGATTGTGACCAATCACAGCGGACCACTGACCCCCACTTTCGTGAGAAATCTACAGGTCCGTTAGCATAGACAGCTGAGTTAGCACAACAAGCCAAGGAGCTAACCTGAAGCTTCGTGTGTCTTCGTCACCGGGTACTGCTTACACAGCGAGCAGAAAGAGAGAGGCCAGCGAGTCCGCTGCTTCAAAATCCCAAAGTCAGTTAGTGCAGCTTTAACACAAGTGGTAAAACCAATTGTAATAACCTTTTTAAATGAACAAAACGGAAAAATAAGGGAGATTGTCTTAAATTTCCAATGTTTTGAATGGGAGGAGTTGAAATTACAGCTCTGGGAGTACTTAGGGAACGCACAAATCAAAGCAGAATACTTCTATTTAATTCAATTCAATGTATTTTTGTATAGCCCTAAATAAGAACAGCAGTCAGAGGACTTTACAAAGTTGTCGATTCACTAACAATTTAAAATGAACAGATGAAATACAATGCTAACAAACAATTAGTCCATAAATATCAATAATTATTGTAAAAAAATTGTGACTTTATTCATAATATTTTAAATATCTGTAAAAGAATACATTGGACTTCACCTTATGTCCTGATTCCTTCCTGATGTTGTAGGGTGTTCTATTCTTACCATGCCACTGACCGTGTCTTCAAAACTTTACACAGGGTTCGTCACCGTTGCACTTTCCATTTTTATCCCACACGTCACCGCGAGCGAAGGCATCCGTGCAAATCAGAAGGTTCAACCAAGCTGCATGGCGTACGCTAGCGCATGGGGACGGGACTAAAATAGAACCCCATGAAAGCAGTTCAATATATAATGGCGGCTGCAACTGAAAAGGCAGGCGCTAATCTGACACAGGCAATTTCAGATTTTAAATTGGTTATTATTTTTTTGCCTTTGTAGCCAATAACAACATCTGCACTAAATTTGACTTTTGCCATTTAAAATTAGAAATATTTGTATTACAATGTAATTGGTAATAAAAGCAAGTGTAATGGTCAATTTGGCCATATTGAAAGGGTTAGGGTTTCTCATATTACTGATTTT